GGAGCAGCTCGGTGTGTTTGTCTGTTATTCAGTGACATTTTAAAATGTTTTTCCTTTGCTAATGTGTGTTTATATAAAGCATGTCACAGTAGGACTAATTCAAACACATGGCCACATTTCATTGCCTTTCCCATTCTAAGGAGGAGACTGGTAATCATAAGACATTACAGGAACAGGGAACTGCTTATAAGTTATTAAAACTGACTTTATGCCTATAAGGTTCAACTTCATGTAAATCAAAACCCTCCTTAGAAATTAAAGGGAAAAAAGGAGTTATAGGATATTATAGGAAATATCATCAAAATGACTATTTCATCAGATCATCTACACCCTTTCTACTATTGCCTTCCAGTTTGCTTTAGTTCAGTTTGCATACATTACCACCATATTTCAGAGGTAAAAGTCAGTGGCACTGCCCTTTAAATCCGTCCCCATTTCATATCAGAAGCTGCGTGAACAGCTAGAATTCCTGAGTCTGCTCGCCATCCCTTCTTATCTATGAATCCATTCAAAAGGAGAGTGTCTGGCTTCATGCAGGAGCTGCAGTGTTATTATCATCATAGACAGGAACCTCTAAATCACTCTAAAAATACACTGCAGTCAGGCGGGCGGAGCTGATAGCAAGATGCCCTGGCTGCCTGCCGGATCTTGACAGATTGGCGCGACCGTTGGTAGAGCAGAGCCCCTCTGCTGCACCACACAACCCCCATCTCCCTCCCTTCTGTCACTTCCATCACCTACAGGTACGCTTGAGGCTCCAATAGCAATGTGACACTGCTGACGCAAAGACAGAGGCCTGTCAAAGATACCGTCTCAGAATACTCCTCTAAAGGTTTTGTGCAATAGCTCCTAAATGCAGTGCTTCCTATGTGTTTACAACAATGACACCTCTGCTCTGTCAATCATTAACAATGTTGTGTTATGACGCAAATGAAATGTGACACTAACATTTTATATACGGGCCTGTTTTCTTCTAAAACAACAAAAGGGTATCAAACCTCTTGTCTATCGTCCAGAAAAGAGGATTTTAACACCAAAAGGAGTTTTGGTGTTTATCAAACATCTTGAACAGAAGACATCCCAGACAACGTATGTTGTGTTAAAATGTCTTGGATTTGAAGATAACAATTTGGGTATTGATCCAAATAGAAATAAAATAGCCCTTAAAATCCTCTGTAAGTGATTATTCAATCCTTATGTTCATGAAAAAACCTGCAAGTGATACTTCAAAGAACTGGAGTCTTTACCTTACAATATAAAGCACCTTGAGGTGACTGTTGCTGTGAATTGGTAACATATAAACAAAAGGATTGGACTGGATTAACTGATTGGGGACAAACTGCCCTTCTGTATGTAGAGCAGAAGCTCTTAGCGAAAGGCTTTTTTCTTTATTCATTTTTAAAAACTCCAACTTCTCAAGTAGTGAAGGTGTTCTCTGGGTTTTTAACCTCGTCAGCGTTTGCGAACATGAAAACCAATGACAGCGGAGCATTTCTTTGGCCAATCCAATCTAGCAACAACCTCATCAAATGAATCACCCTCCATCTTCTAATCCCAACTCCAAATTCAAAGCAAAAGAAAATTTAAATGTGCAGATTACTTATGCGTATCCGCCGGACTCTTCTGGGTGTGTTTCTCTAACCTTGAGAAATTCTGCTCGCTCTCATCTTTGGAAATAACCTTGTTATCACACCTGGAAAGTTTCTCTCTCCAGCTCAGCCTCCATCTTTTCGTCTGCCCCTCCCTCATATACCGAACCATCTGCTTGTGCTCATTCATCACTGTCTTGCTGCGTTCTTCCTAATCTTTCCTTGATCGCTCCATTCAGAACCCAGATTCGCGGACAATCCATTCACGCTTTTTTACATATATATCTCATTCAAAAATGCAATTTTTGTTAATTTGACTCAACAACATCTTTCCCCACGAACGGTCACCGTGCATCTTCCTGTATCATCTCTGTCATGTCCTGTTGCCATGGGTTTTCACAACCTGACTGCTCTGCAGCCTTGATATAAACAACACCAAAGGCATCACATGAAGTTGAATTGGTGCTTCCAGGAGTTGATTTTAGGGTTGCCAGAGGCTGCTTATCAGAGACAAATTGGCCGAGATGATGTTTATTTATTCAGGGAATTATTGTCACTGCCTCGTGCACACAGACCTCGCCAGCTGCAAACCAACACACTCTCATCAGCTCTCCTGCTCTTTTAACATAGATTCATGTACTCTCCCTTTCCTTCCCTTTGATACACCACACAGCTTCTCACTACTTCAACTGAACTCCACCCCCCACTCTTCAACATGCTCTCTCCATCTATCACAATTTCACACACTTCTCTCTCCCTCTCCCCCTCCATTATCTCTCTCTCCCTCTCTCGAACACTCACACTCTCCGTCCCCGGCTCCGTGCCGGTTTCATTAGACGACAGGTTTCAGAGGTATGAATTCACACGAGGCACGAAAACGTGATGCCATTATTCAGTCTCCATTCTCCCTGTCTTGTAAACTGTCGGCTCAGGGAGAGTGGGAGATGATTGAGAGCTCAGGTGTGTGTGTTTGTGCGTGTGATGCATAAATTCGCTTGGTTTGGCTCTGAATCGAATGAAAATGGAAGAAAGTGTAGAGGTGATGTGTGGAGATACATACAAAGCATTTGTGTTTCAAGTCTCCGTGTCGTGCCTTGTGTTTCTTATCATGACCTCTACACAACTCTGTGGACATGCAGGTCTAGTTGCAAGTCTACTCTTCTTACTCCTGTACAGACT